CTAAAAATCTCACAGGGTATCAGGAAATCCATGTGCATGTGCTAAGCCTTTCTTGTGTGCTGCAGCAAACATCCCAATCCAACTTCAGCCCAAGTAGACTTGGCAGCCAGAGTTAAGGCCAATATATGGTCCTTAAAAAGTTGGATAACTTATTTTTTTTAAGAAGTTACCTTCATTTTTTAAATGAAGGAGTAGGGACCCAAAGGTTTTTTTTAAAAATGGCACTAGAATTCCTTGGTTGTTTCCCCCATCTTTCCTTGTTAATGTCTGGACTTTTCATAGGTGAGTTGCTGACTGAGTGGGCTTCAGATATGAATTTCTCTTTCTCTGGGTAGAGAACTCCCTGCGTGCCCTAGCTGCCTGCTCCCAAGTGCAGCGTCTACCTCGGCAGCTCTTGCCATCGTCCTGCAGGGTGCCCGTCACACAGCTGCACAGAGGCCCGTCCACCCGGCTCGTGCAAATCTGCTCACACCCTCCGTTGTCCTCACACCAGTCCAGCCCTACAAAAGAGCAGTTGGGCACATGAACTACAAACAGTCCACCCTTCAACTCGTATCTAAGGGGAAAACTTTAAAGAGAGGAGAGGATGAAGAAAAGCCCAAAGCCACTGAGTTTCTGAAAGTCAGTGACAAGATCTCCTTAAGGAAGCAGGCAGTCTTCTCAAACTGGTGTCCCCAACACCAGCCTCCTCATTCATTAGACTCACATCAGGGGCAAAACACAACTGAGCCTTCACATCCCATCATTTTAACCATTTGTAGTGTGTTTTGGGGAACATACATACTTTTTCTCCTAATAGGTCCCACTGAAATGATCTGTTCTTTAGGTTCTTTTGTATACTCTGTGGCAATCCTGGAATTCTGTGGGCAAGTCTGAAAGACAAAACACCAGAGGGAATATTTCACACAATTAGCTGATAACTTATTCTTCACCATGTTTCTGCCCCCAAAAGAGGCAGTGGCTCTGGCCTCGAGCACTATCGCTGCTCAGATTAATTAGAACCAATGCATTCTTGATCATCGAGCCCACCGGGACTCCAGGCTTTAAGTTGAACAGAGTTAAATATACTCTCCACACTAGAATGAGATTCAAAAAGGCTCCATGCCCAGGAATGAGGACTGTTGTATCCCAGCAGACACTAATATATGCAGCATCATCTGTAAGTAGCTCTGACCATAAGTCACATCTTGATTCTGCAGACATGGGGTGAGCACAAAGCCGGTATGTCAAGGTTCAGGCAGGTACCAGTGCAATCAGATCTTAAGGGCAAAGCCATACATGGTGGGGATATAAGCCTGGCATGGAAGAAACCACTGGTTTGTCACCTCATCCCACCAGCCCCTCTAGAGCCTCTGATCCTGGTGTAGATGAGATGAGCTGTAGGACATCTGGGTAAACTGTCTCCTGTGCTAGGAGTTTGATTCTATAGTGAAATGGGGCTTGGCCCATCAGGTTCAGGTTCCTGGCTCAATATGCTCCTGGGACTCTAGTGCACTGGTGTTCGACAAGACCAATTTTGCCCCCTGGGGGACATTTGGCAATGCCTGGAGACTTTTTTTGTAGGGGGGCCAGATGGCCACTATGGGGATCTGAACCCTTGACCTTAGTGTTAAAATACTGTGCTCTAACCAACTGAGCTAACCAGCCAGACCTGGAGACATTTTTAAGTGTTGCAACTTGGGGGGAGGGTGCTATTGACATCAAATGCATAGAGGCCAGTGATGCTGCTAAACATGCTACAGTGCACAGGACACCCCACAACAAAAAATTCCTCAATCCAAAATGTCAATAGTGCGGAGGTTTGAGAAACCTTATTCTAGTGTTAAGCCAATGACTGGTTGGCTTTTCAGAGGTAGAGGAGTAAATGACATCATTCCACCGTGCTCTCTCTCTTACTGTCCTACTGAAAGGGATGCCGCACTCCTAAGCATCTGTGGATGGCCCCAGTTCAGCCACCTGACAGTCATGATCCCTGTGGTGGGAAAACTGGGGCCGTGAGACACAAGGCTAAGCATTTCATTTTTACACTCTCACTCACAATTTTACAGGAGTACTTTTCTGAGTCGCAGAGTGACACTGCACAGTGAAGATGAACTTCATCATAATCCCCGATGAATTTAAAGACGGTGACGTGAAAACGACAGGTTAGGGAGACCCCGTTCTCCTCGATGCCAATGGTGTTGTCTTTGATGTTCTGACACCTACGCAGAAAAATAATGGAGCCCTGACTTTACAGGTTTTCCTCTTACACTTCAAGCCTCGTCTTCATTTCAAAATCTCACATTTCACATAAAACCGTCATAAATGGTAAAAATGCCTTTGCATTTGCAAGTGACCTCTACACTGTGTGGGTTTGTCATTTATTATCACTCCCTCATACTTTCATAGTTTGTTTTGAAACATCGAATACCGCCTCAAATTAGTATCCTAACTGCAACCCAAAACAAAATGACTGCAGGGACCCCACTCGATTTCCCCAGGCTCTGGTTTCTCATTCTGCCCCCTCATAATGCTGTGATATCAATTTAACAAACACCAAGATTAGTTCTTCCTTCTTCTGTACTTTCTTCAGTGAATTATCAATTTTGGCAGGGGCCCCTGATTCAAGCCCTACCGGGAAATCCTCCCACGTGTGAAGATAGGCAGGAGCTGGAGGGACAGAGCAGTTGAGGAGGAGCAGCTGTGGAACTGTTTCGATGTAGGGAACCACCTCTTTCCTTAGCTCCCTCCCTTCTTGTGGTTTTGAGCTGATAGGCGGTCACAGCCAGGGTGTTTCTTGGGCACAGCTATCTTGCTTCCACTCCTTAGAGTTCCCCTGATGTATCACAGTCTCTTATGCTCCAGTATCTCTGTAGGTAACGTCTGCCCCACCTGGAAGGTCTTTCTGCTCTTCTTCCCCTGCATAGCTCCTGATCCTTCTTCCACACCAGTCTATGGCACCCGTCCTTTACAAATACCCCCTAGTCATGCCCTGACCGACATGATCAGGTAGCCTTTTCTAGATTTGCCAACAGCAGCCTGTTGAGCTCCTTCAGTGCAGGAATCAAGCTGTAATTCTCGCTGTGTCTCCAACACACCACACGGCATGTAAGAGGTATTTGAAAATCCTTGTTGGATGAATGAATGAATGAATGAATTGTGCCGTCATGGAGAACTCTGGCCCATAGGAGCCAAGAAGCTCTTTAAAATGATAAAGATAGAGAGGGTGACCCTTTTTCTTATGGTTCCTTTCCCTAGCTCACAGGATTAAATAGCTTAGCAATAAGGAAAATTAAAAATTGAAGTTATCCTTCAGTGTTCCCACGCCTATTAAGTTTTATGATTAGTCTTCTAGGCAAAATGCAGGTTGCTTTTCAAGGCAATGTTCTCTTAAATGCTTTGAAACAAAAACATGCCATACTTTCCTTGCCACTATTCAATTGGATTGGTTCTAAATTGGTGCAAGGGTTCTAAAAGGGTGGCAGACCTCCAACCTTCACACAGGCTTTGCCCTTAACCAGACCGTCACCTCTCTCCCAGAGCGATGACTTGAGGCTTAGGTGTCCAACAAATGAGGAGCAGAGGGCAGGGGCATACGGGAGCCGGGACGGCTGGCTGGTGCCCCCACTGGAGTGAGCAAACAAGCTGAGCACTAGCATCTGTGTCCACTAGCAAAGAGACACCTGTCCTATCCTCCGTCTAGGCACATAAAGAGAAAAGAGAAGTGGCCTGTGTGTCCCCAGACTTCCAAGCCACTGGTAGAAGTTGGTACTGTCTCTGCCCTCCACACAGCTGGGGAAGAACAACTGATCCCCCCAAATACTGAGGTGGACCCATTCTACAACTCATTCATTTATCACTGAGCATCAGTTTTCCCATGAGTTCAGAGAAAAAACAAAACAATAATCATTTCCCTACAAGAAAGGGCATAAGGACTGATGGATTGAAACTCTCCCACATGACAAAATCACTTCCCACCCAACAAGTTTAATTTGAAGGCCTTTATTCAGCCAGACCCTGGGGGAGGCTGAGATTTATGAACATGCTTGCTGGCTCGCTCTCCTTCTCTGGGTCAAGTCTATTAAATACTATTTTAAAAATGCTAAATGCCACCATGTCCTTCAAGGGAGACTATCATCGGGGTTTGCATTTGCAAAGTGGCTCTTATCTTAGCCCTTCTATGTTGGGAAATGAATATGATACGGGGAGGGAGGAAACGTGGAGAA